GCTCTGCAACGGCCCATGAATGTAGCGCAGCGAAGACTTGTTGCGCATGTGGGTCGGCATTTGAAGGCGTTCGGTGCCTCTGTTGGTGAGTTTGCTCTTGCTGACTCGGGCCGCCGCAATCCCCAATTAATCGCACGGCTTTCTGAGTTAACCGCTTTTCTTTCGGCCAACCAGGCCGTTTCGGGAGATGCTTATGCTGATGTGTCAGGTACTGCGGTCCCCACGCACAACGAGGTCCATCCTGGACTTGATCCTTTTCGTTCTCTGACGGTTTCAAGACTTCATCTTTCTGGGAGAGGCTCCTGGGACCCAGGACCTTTCCTTTCGGACGAGCTTTACATGGCCTACTGCGAGCCGAGGTCTTTGCTTCATGGCCTTCCTCCTCCTGATTCCTTTGTTCCCGTTTGGACTCGGGAGGACCCTTCTGAGGTTGCTGCGCTGGCCAGATTGTGGGATTCTTTGGGCTTGCTTCGCCTTGCTCCTTCCCGAACCCGTGCCTCCCAGGCCTACTTGCTTTCGAGGGCTTTTAACTGCTACAAGGCCCCGGACCGTGACAGGATGATCATTGACAGAAGGGGTCAGAACTATGCTGAGTGCAGGCTGGCTGGGCCCAGTTTGTTTATACCTGTTGCGCCCATGTTGTGCATGCTGGAAGCTGATCCCAGGCGTCAGGCTATATACTGCGCGGCCACGGATAGAAAAGATTTTTATCATCAACTCCGGGCTCCTCCCTCAAGAGCGGCTGGCAATGCACTCGGCCCGGCGCTCCCAAGGTCTGCTGTGTGCAAGCTTGACGCGTTCTCTTCTTTGCTTCCTCCGTGCCCTCTTGGCCGCGAGACTCGTCTGGACTGCCTTTCAGATCATCCTCGTCCCGATCTTCGGGACCCGCTTCTTTTCGAGGCTGACCACTACCTCGTGTGTTTCGCCGCTGTGGCCCAGGGAGATCAGTTGGGAGTGGAATTCGGGACGGCAGCCCACGGGTGTTTGTTGGAGGCGGGGGGGTTACTCGATCCTTCCACGAGGTTGTGTTCCAACAAACCTTTCAAAGGTACCGCAGGGGCTCAGGGATTAGTGATCGATGACTTTTTCTCGGTCAGTGTTCATGACGACGCCGACTCCTCTGCTCCAGGCTGTTTGGGACACCTCGCCACTGCCAAGGCCATCTACGCCTCTGAAGGTTTGGCCGGGTCTGATGATAAGGATGTTCTAGGGTCGACCTTCGCAAAGATTGCTGGAGGGGAACTGAATTCCTCTTCGGGTGCCCGGGCTCAGGGTTTGATCACTATTGCCGCTCCGGCTTCAAAGAGGGTTGCTCTTTCGGTGGTGACGTTGGAGGCTGCTAGGTTTCAGCATGTCACTGACGTTTTGCTGTTGTCGATGCTGGGTAGCTGGACGTCCGCGGCCTTGTTCAGGCGGCCTCTGATGTCTATCTTGTCGTGCGCCTTTGGTATTGTTCGCGCGAGCTCTGTTTGTGCTTCGAGGCCGAAGCTTTATGGGCTTTCAAGGCCCGCTGCTCAGGAGCTTGTGATCATGAGCGTGCTCTCTACCTTGGCGGCTTCGGAAATTTCTGCCCCTCTTAGTCCCCTCCTTTTTGCTACGGATGCTTCTGAGCATAAAGGAGGGTACGTCGCGGCCGACGTTGGAGCTGAAGTTATTCGGCCCCTGTGGCGCACTGCTTCGAAAAAAGGCGGCTACAGCCGGCTTTGGTCTAAAGAGGAATCCGTTCTCGCGAGGTTTGATGATCGGGAAGTCGTTGACCTGAGGCTCCTTCGTGACTCCTTTGTCCCCACTCCCTCCAGACCTCTGGCCTTTTTCTTCGACTTTCTTGAGGTAGGCTGTTCTGCTGGTGAGGTCAGCCGGCTTCTTGCCGAACGGGGCTTTCGTGTTGGGCCTCAGGTCTCCATCAAGGTGAGCCCTGTCTATGACATCATGCAGCTCAGGACTCTTGAGTGGCTTATCCACTTGATTCATCAGAAGAAGCTCAAGAGTTTCCTTTGTTGGCCCCCTTTTGCCACTTTCAGGTTTGGGTCGTGGCCGTCTTGGAGATCGGCCTCGCTTCCCAAAGGTAGCTGGCCTGGCCAGCCTAGGACCCGTGCGGCCAATGGTCTTGCCCTTCGGTATCTCTCGTTGCTTTTCACTGCCGTTGAGAGTGGTGCCGTTGGAGCTTTGATTCATCCGAGCTGCTCTTCCCTCTCGAGTTTTCCTGAATGGCAGCGGCTTAAAGGCTTGGGTGCTCGTGAGTTTGAGGTCTGTACGTGCGCTTTCTGCAACGACTCTGCCGTTGGTGTACGGTCCAGGTCCGTCTCGTTGTGCCATTTGGGCACCTGCTGCAAGGGGTTTCGTCTCCTTGCTTTTGGCATCGATTTTCAGTCCTTGGTGGGCCACTGTTCTTTCTCCCAGACTGCTTCACAGCGCAGTAGCCTGGAGTTGGCTTCGCCCGGTTTTTTCCCTGACACGCTTGCGGTTGCTCTGTGCCACGAGTTTGCTTCGACACTTCGTCGGGTGTCCCACGTTGCTAGTCTCTCGCGCCTCACCACTGAAGGCCTCGAGAGCTACGTGCTCAACGACATAGTGACTTCCGTCACTTGGCGCGACGGTGACTCTTGGTATTGGCGTGCTGCTGCTCACATCAACATCCTCGAGTCTGCGTCTGTTTTGCGTTTGCTCAAGCGACTTGCCACTGAAGGCCCTATGAGGATTGTCGTGCTGGTCGATTCCTCAGTTGCTCTTCACGCTTGTGCAAAGGGGCGCAGTCCCTCCAGAGGCCTCACGCCCATTCTTCGCAAGATTGGGGCTCTGTGCCTTGCTGCTGGTCTTTTCCCAGTCTACCACTACGTTCCTACGAGGCTCAATCCGGGCGACTGTCCTACTCGTGACCTTCCTCTGCCGAGGCCCTTGGAATCATCGTTTTGGACTTCACTTTCGCTTGATCAGCTGTACGAGGGGCTTTCTCAGCCAAAGCTTAAGCGGTGGGCTTCCAACTGGGCTAGACTTGCCTGCCTCCTTTGTCGGATTCCTCCGTCTTTCAGCCCTGACTTGGGTTGGCGATCCTTCCACCGTGTCTCCAGGATCTTCGATTCGACTTTGGGCTTTCCTGGGGAGGGGCCTTTCTTCAGGGTTGTTCTTGGTTGGGTTTGGGTTTTCACGGCGGTAGCTGCTCCTAGCCATGGCCTTCGCCCGAGAAACTCTGCTGATGAGAAACGGTCTCAGGCCAGGGCTACTGTGACCCTCTGTGAAGGACGACCCGTTGAACCCGTCACCCAGCGACGACGTGACAAACTCTTAGAAGCCTTTAAGGCCTGGCTCTCTCCTCAGGATATAGATCTCGCTGATCTCTTTGATCTGCAGCCTCAGACTACTCGAAAGCTGAACCTTCTGCTGACGCGCTACGGGCGAGAACTCTTCGAAGCTGGCTGGCCCTACTCTCACTACTCGGAGGTCATCAATGCCGTTTCTGGAAAAGAACCTGCCTTGCGAAGAAGCCTACAACCAGCGTGGGATTTGGCTTTTGCTTGGCTCCGTGAGGAACCTCACTCTCATCACGTTGCTCTTCCCTGGCAGGTTCTCCTGGCTATGGTCACGACTTCCATCATGTGGGGTTGGCCTCGGGTTGCTGGCATGCTGGCCCTTACCTGGGGCGCTTTGATGCGAGTCGGCGAGACGCTAGCAGCAAGGCGAAGAGACCTGCTCCTTCCTTCAGACGTTGGCGACACGGTGTCCTATGGCCTGGTGTCTATCCATGAGCCTAAGACAAGGTTTAAGGCTGCGAGACATCAGTCTGCTCGGATTGATCAGCCTGACCTTTTGGCAGTGGTTAACATGGCCTTCGGACACCTTTCAGGTAACAGCAAGCTTTGGCCTTACAGTGCCTCTACCTTGCGGAGCCGTTTCGACAACTTGGTTCGCCGACTTGGAGTTGACACTTGGGAAGGCCAGGGCTCTAAGTCTCTTGACTTGGGCTCGCTTCGAGCGGG